CCCCAAAACCCCAAAACCCCAAAACCCCAAAACCCCGAGCGACCTCAGTTTGACTGAATGAGCCTAAAATGTAGAAACACTAGTGAAAGGAATCTAGGTGAAAAAGTTTATTATTTTAAATTCATTGCTCAGAAAATTCTGACAATTATCTTAATTTGTTCTATTACCAACTACCAAACTGCTTATTGCATACTTTACATAGCCAAACCAGAGAAGTGTGAAGCTAAGCATTCTTAAAGAAGGAAGTTATTGAATTCTATTATATACTGATGCAATACTCTGAGAAGTCTGAAACTGATTTTTCAAATAAAATATTGATTGGGGTAGAGGCTTGAGCTTCCTCATTCTTTGCTGGTTTAGTTTGCACTACCTCTTTGCAAGATATTATTTCTTAGAAAATGGCGTTATTTCAGCTTTCTCTTTTGCTCAAAAAATGTAAACATTTAAGGAATTAAATTTAACAAAGACTTATGAGGAGGATATTTATGAAATGCTAATTTAAATCTGGCTCAAAATATTAAATAAATTATGATTATCAAGAAGCTGTTTGCACTGGATGAAGTAATTTTTAAATATACTTTTGTTGGTATTTCCTCTTTGAGAATTACTAGACCTCCCTTTAGCCCCTGCCACTTGATCTCTTGTAAAACCATTTTAGGATATTGAACTTAAAATTTCACAAAAAATTTTCAAAATTGAAATGGGGGTATTTTCAAGAAAATTCTTGGAGTAATTATTATTCACATCCACAGAGGCACTTCGACTCTAAGAACTGGATATGCTGAGATTTCTTAATCTCTCTTCGATCGCTTCTCTTTTAGCAGCTTCTCTAACTCTCTCTTGATAATTATTTTGAACGACTTCATCTTCAGTAATAGATTGGATTTTTCTAATTTTTTCATCAAGTGCTTCTTTTAGATCCTCTTTCTCTCCGAATATTTTAGGAGTAGGGACATCCTTAGGCTCTCCGTTTTCTTCATAAAATAAGAATTAATAGGTTATTCTGAAGTCTTTAATACAAATTCAACTTGACTTACTTCCATTTTCCTGGGATTTTTTAGACTCTATAAGAAATGAATGAGCCCACGAACTTAGATATCCACCAAAAGAAAGACAGATAAATGCAAAATTAAATTATTTTTAAAAGGAGTTTCAAAATTTGGAGAAACTTACCATCTTTGTTTGTTCTTTTCCTATCTCAAATGTCTACTGGAGGATTTCTAGAGGTATAAGCTGGTAATTACTCCTTTTCTTGCGTCGAGAAGCAGCAACCCATATTATAAATAAATCTTTATCCAGTTTGAAGGTTAAGGGGTTTTGGGGTTTTGGGGTTTTGGGGG